TATTATTTCAAACTTGTGAATGCACAGCGCGTTCGCTACTAGCTCTTCATCTGAAATAAGTAAACCTGCAACTAAAAATAGTAGATAAATAAATGAGCCATTGAGAGCCTGCTGAGTTTTATTCTTTCCCCCTCAGAAAGTTACTCTCTCAGTTGGGAGATTATATTCATAAAGCTTCAAAATCATTAAATTCTCAAGCACACATTCTTCCTTCAAATATTTTTTATTTTTCTAACCGTTAAACCAAAAGTTTTTCACAGCTTACGATTGCTTTACATTTGATGCTAAGTGGTTAATTAAAGCCTGCATTTTTATTCCCTTTGCTTATTTGCCTCTTGAGGTGCTTGGGGAAAGGAAGGAAGTGGGTGGGGAGTGAATGGAGAAGGAAGGGGTAAATTACTGGATGTTATGTGTAGAAGGGATCTTTAGACCTTGATTTAATTCTTCACAATGGGCAAACTGAGGCTGGGAGCTAGTGGGAAAGCTGACCACACAGACAGTAGAATCGGGTTTGGAATTCAGCCCTCCCAACCATTAAACCAAGGCTCTGAAGGAGGGGAGGATAAATGCATAGACTGGGATTTGGTAAAACCCAAGAATGAAAAATTATATAATTTTACCAATTGCAATGGAGCACTGCCTGATGAGGGCTTTGGAGCCAGAGAACCTTACTGAAATCCTAGTTACCCACTAACTGGACAAATTATTTACCCTTCTAAGCCTGGGCATAGGGAGTAATCATTTCTACATTAGCCAGTTTATATTGGGCTCTTGCGATGAGCCAATCACTGTTTTCAAGCACATTCAGTATATTAGCCCTTAAATTCTACCTCGTAAGTCTGAATTATCCCAGAGAGTTCTCAATAAATCTACTATGATTTGGTCAATAATTAAAGAATAAGAGTTTTTTAAATTAATTTATTTTGAAGATCTAATTGTCTTTTTTATTTATGTGCTTTTGACAGGAATCGAACCCAGGACCCTTTGATTCATAGGCCAACACTCTATCCACTGAGCCAAACTGGCTAGGGCAAGAGTAAAAGTTTTAAATAACTATCTCTAAATATTTATAAAATATATGAGAAAACATTTAAATTATTAATCTGATCAAATACACTACTTTTTTAAAGTTATGATGGATAAACTTAAAAATTTTAAGTTACAAGGTGAATGAGTACTCTCACTGAACCAAGATGCTCTCTTCAAAATACCTCTTAATGTTGAAAGACTTAGTTTCATTTCCAATTTCACTTCCTTGCTCTGCCATGTGGGCTTTCTGTAAAGCACAGGTACCTGGGACATAGAACCACCAATGCAAAGTCTTTCTAGCACTTTCCACTGAGTAAGCAGGTCCATAGGCTTTTGACTTTTCCCTCACTCCTAGGTTAGGGTGAGACAGGTCTTTATATAGTTTTAGATATTATTTATTTTAAAGATAGGTACAAAAATACCCTTAAAATAGAAGACATGCATGCTTATTTCCCAGAAGAAATCCAACAGGTAGCAATTACCTCAGTCACATCATGAGACTGTCACTTTTGCAGCTTGGGGCACCTTGCAGGCTTATGCTTTTTGGTGCCTTCTTCTCTGCCTCTCTGTGTTTCACAAGGAAAATGTGCTGACCCACCTCAGCACTTTTCTAAAAGACCCAAGCATGTTGCCTCTGAACTCTGTTCTTCTCCTAAGGCTGATCTAGGACAAGAATAATTTGTATGCTCTGATAACTGACAGTTGCTTTCTTCTGTTACAACTATGATACTATGGTGTCCTGAAGAGATTAGAATATAAAAGTCCAGGCCCTAGCCGGGTAGCTCAGATGGTAAGAGCGCTATCCGGATATGCCAATGTTGCAGGTTCCATCTCGGACACATACAAGAGATAACCTATGAATGCATAAGTGAAACAACAATCTCTCTCTCTCTCTCTCTCTCTCTCTCTCTCTCTCTCTCTCTCTCTCTCTCCATTTTTCTCTAAAATCAATAACTTAAAGAGAGAGACAGAGAGAGAGAGAGAGAGAGAGAGAGAGAGAGAGAGAGAGAGAGAAGTCCAGAGCTTAATTTTTGAGGACTTTAACTAAGAAGTGATTCTAGGAAGAGGACTTATTAAACTGCATTGTAAAATACTATTAAATAGTATATTCATTTGATGCTTCCATTTTAAATCTCTAATGTCCTCATGGTGGCCATGAAGGCTTTGTTTTATTGATGGCTGTTCCAAATTCTAAAGGTCAAAACAAGGTGAAAAGCAGAAACATAATGCCATGAGTTTGGGTTAATGTTAACTGAAACAGATGCAAAGGCATGCTTTCCTTTGCGAAAGTAAAATACTTGCCAAGTGGGTGAATTCAATTACAATTTACATCACAGGAAGTTTCTCCTTCTTGAAGAAAAATGTCACTTTAGCATTTCATTAGTTAAAACTAACTTTAAAATGGGAGTCCATAGGAAAATGTAGTTATATTTACAAAAATTAGATGCACATAACTTATCAGAAATTCATCCCAAGTTAGACCCATTGGTATGGGTTATAAGAGGCAGCATTGATACATGACTTCACTCCCAGGCCTTGGTGTCTTCAAAACCAGACCCACAGTTGGGCTCTGAGCACTTGGCAGGAACTTCAATATCTCTGAGCTTCAAGATGATATTCAAAATAATCATTTCTGTGAAGAGTCTAACCTTTATGGTGATTTCTGCCTTATAGCATTGCAATGAGGACTAAATTTAAAGCTGGTATGTATATGAACATTTAGCCCATTTCACAGCACATACTAACCATGTAAGTAAAATAGTAAAAGTAATTAATACTACAAAATGCAGAACTGTAATTACACTTTTGATGAGACTATTTACTAAAAAATTGTCTTCACACATCTGAAATGCTTTCAATTCACTAATTTCAGATGAAGGCATCCAACTTTATAGTCTGTCTCAAATAGTAACAATGAAAACCGTGTATTGAGAGGATAACCTGCCCTTTGCATGACTTATCAACTCACTGAATACCTCAATGATCCCACTAGGGGGGCGTTATTAGCTCTATTTTAGATGTAGAAACTGAAACTCAGAATTTACATCAGCTGCCCCAGTTAATCCTGCTTTAATTGAGCATGTTAGGTTTTCAACACAGTTAGCCCCTCTATGCCCATGCTCTTCAACTCTACTTTATGCTGGAAATAAAAGGGAATGGTAATGAGAAGATGAACTGAGAGATATTTCTTACTTCAAATAAATTAATCTAACACAATAGTTCTCAAATTTTGGAGGGAATCAAAATATCTTTGCACTCTAAAATAAAAAAAATGTATTGGGGTCCTCACAGAATTTTTGTTTATAGGGGGCATATTAATTGATACTTCTGAATTATATAGTGTAAATTAAAGCTAAAAGGTTGCTTATGTTTATTTATTTAACTTTAAATAATAATACCACTTAAAAACAACTTATTATTTATTTAAAAAATAATTGTAAAAGAATCATAAATAAACACATTACACGTGAACACACATTTTTTGCAATATATCTGTTTTCCAAAACAAAACATTTTAGTGAGAAGAATTAAGGAAATTTGCTTCTGCATTCATTCTGTTGCACTGTCACAGGTCACATGGTGTCTGAAAAGCCCTACCAAGTACTTATGAGACCACGAAAATGAAAAGGGAAAATAACATCTTACCATTATTATAAAAATCATTTCACCACTTGATCCTTTGAAAGATCTCAGGGACCCCTCAGGTTCAAGCTCACACTATAAGAATCACAATTGAGGTAAAACCTGGAAGTGAGCTGAGTTCTAATGCCAGCTTCAGTCTGCAGTGACAACCCAAGTTCATCTTTCAACTACCTGCTCATCCCCAGAGTGTCTCTTTATATTGTTCTGGGAAAGAAAGATGAAAATTTATCTTCTCTGGGTAATAATAAACACTGAGTGGGGAAAGCTTTAAAGGTAATAACATCACTTGACTAAAACAAAACAAAAATGTTATAGAAAAATGTGCCAGCTACACATTTGGTTAGTTCACTCTTCAGAGACAAAAATTAATGTATTTTTATCTTTACAGAATGACAACTTTTTGTTGCACAAATGAAATGTAATTGAAGTGTCATTCTATTTTTCTGGCATTAACCAAACTGAGTAAATCTGTTATATTGTTCAAGTAAAGGTACTACTCAAATATTAGCAGACATGTATCCTAATAAAATAAAGGGTTCCAGAAGCATTGGAAATCTTATACAAGATGAGAAAATCTTATGAAATATTTAGGTAGTCATGGAAGAAATTGAATCTAATGATTATTTATGAGTTTGCATCTTCAAAATGTGTTGGTTAAGAAATACAATTTTTATTCCTTGCTTTAATCCAAACCGAGGAATAAGGTATTTGTACAGCATATTTGGTTTTGTTAAATCGTGTATTCAAGTGTGCATTGCATTAGCATCCTATTTCTAAATGGGAAGGTGATGGTTGTAAGGCACTGTGCTCATTCCTGATAATTTTTAAACTTAAAATATTCTATATGTGTTCTAGAAGGATGGTGCTCTATTTCACAGGTAAGTTAGCAAAGCTGGAGAACTGAAGAATGATCATTTCAGTAGCAAAATTGCACTGAAAGGAAACACATTTTTTTTAATTGAAAATATTTAGTGAAAGAGCACTAACACTAAAATAAAGTTTGATCTCCATTGCTAATTGAACTATTCCCCACCATAAGCATTTGACTGCAAATTGTGCACAAGTCACACATGCAATGTCATTTTCAGATGCTGGATTTGATGAGAGAGGAAGCATCAGTATAACATTGACTTCAATGTGTTCCTCTAACATCAATTCCTGCATGGATATTTTACACAGCCTGGAGGTGCTATTTTCCCGCAAGTTTATTTTTCTAACATCCAGAGACTCTGAGGAAAAGGAAACATCGAGTTCCCTCAGAAAAGAGCTGCTTGTTTAAACAGAACGCCTTGCCAAATAGCACTGAGAAGGTTTCTCGGTTCCTCCAGGTGCTTTGCAGCAATAGTCTGCTCGAGTCTACAGACTACTGGTTGCAGAATCAGAGGACACCCTGCCAGATTGGGTTCGTGGAAGACAAGTCCGAAAACACAGCTTGCGCTTCCGTAAGTAGATGCAACCCGGGAAATGGTCTGAGAAAGCAGGCAATCAGGCTCATGGACTCGTGCTCAGAACAGGAATTTTCTAATTCGTTAAATAAAAGGTCTCCTCTGGAAAATCCATACTTGTTAATATGGACTGTTAATAAAATATACAGAGCTCACATCTCTATTCCGATTCTGCTCATTTCAACAGGTTAATTAACCTGATCAATGATCTGAAAAGGAAAAACCATGTTTATATTTCAAAACTGGCAGAGAAGAAGATTCAGAAACAGTACTGTATGATGAGAAATAGAAGGTCATGCAGGAGCTCTCTAGGATACTTTTCAACATATTGTATAAACTCCTGCTAGCGGGTTATTTCCCATCATGAAAATTGTGTAACATTTCTGCACCATTTTTATAAGTTATAGTCATTGTTTGAAAACCTTTTCAACCCAAGAAGTGTACAAGCGTGAGTTTAATATACTGGAGTTAAGCTTTACGTACAAAAGCTTTTTCAAGAGATGTTCTTGTAGATATATAATTCTTATGGCTTAGAATGTGAGTACCTATGGTTGTATAATATGCTCTTTCCTCTATGTCCTATGAGGCTTTATGTTTTATTTGAATTGAAACCAGCTCTTATAGGGTCATTATTACAGAGATCGGAGAGAGCATTTTCAAAAAGAGAGCAATGTAATTCTCATGACTAAGTTGAGAGCATTAGCTCTGAGCTATTCCTGGAGGTAAGATGCATGCCAGCACTTCTGCTAAAAGAAAAAAAAAAAGAAGCTGAAAATGGAATGGAGAAGTTTTTATATATAATGAGTAGAACCAGAAGAACTGGCAGATATAGGATGTGAAACATTTCACAATGCAGAGCCTCACCTCACAAGGAAAGCAGAGTCCATTCAACAGACTTAATTCGATCTCTTGGTTTGGGCAAATGATTTTGAGTCTGCTACTTTGGGGATTTGATCCCTTGTCAAGAATACTAAGTGATGGCTAAAAAATTATTTGGGATAAACAAAAAGGATTAGGTGGAAAGTAATTAATAGTGATACCTTCTCTGCAAATTCAGTTCTGAGATGAGTTGGAAAATTCAGGCATTAGCCAATACTGATCTCTAACTACACAGCTATAAATTATAAAGGGAGAGAAATGGAGATGGAAGAGTGTCAGCAGCTATACTTGGGTCAAAAGTTGTCATCCAAGCAGCTCCTGTATTAAAAAGTCTCCCATTGAAGTTGGGGCACAAAAATCTGCCTAGTGAAAAGCAAAGAGGTCTTCCCTAAACTTTATATTTTTGGAATCTGGATTGCTCATCTATGATTGGAAATGCTAAATTTATAGCCAAATTTAAGATGACCATTGAATCCTCCTAGGTGAAAGAAAACTCTCCTCCCATCCCCCACCAATCCCAAAGGACTCAAATTTGGACTTAAAACTTACCTGACTTCCTTTCTTAATTCTTTGATCCTTTCTAGTGTTGAGCTGATTCATCCTGTCTTTGTGGTTCTTCCTATTCTTTTCAAAAGGGAAAACATCTAAGAGCACATGAAAGGCTTAGTAGAAGATTCATTTCCCCACAATAATTCACAATCAATGAAACTGGCACAAATGTTAAAAATTGTCCATGATTCTAAACCTAAATTTCAGGATCCCTTTAATTTATCAACTCTAATCTCTCAAAAATAATCCCATGATCCGTTTATTAACTCATTCCTTTCTTTTTTCTGATTTAGAGTAGATTTCTAGGATGGGAGGAAGAAACAGAGTCTGTAGTTGGATGTTGCTGAAGGACAGTTATTATCAAAGGGGAAATAGAGGTGAATTATACAGATGCTGACCAGGACAGGGTGTAAGAAAACTTGATCAAAATAGCCACTCAGGAGTAGTCCAAAGAGTCAAGGGAAATGTACTTAATTCCTTTTAAAAAAAATTCTCCTAAAAAGAAATGTATTTTACAATAATATTATCATTATTAAAGTTTAACTTTTAAAAACTTAGTTTCATAAAATTATCCCAAATCTAAACCTCCTTACAAATAATCACAACAGAATCCAAGGAACCTGTAGCAATGTTGTCCTGTATTTTATTGCTTTGTATTCTGTTCACAACTCTGGGGCACTCTGTTCTACAAGAACTATTGCTTCTTTCACTCATTTCTTCCTGACCCACATGAGCAGCCAAGTTTTTCATATTTAATTTTAATTGATGAAGTACCCATTCTGCTGAACTACAAGCAAAGTTTATGAATTTGCTGTGTCTGAGAACTAAGTACCTCAGTGGACCAAGGTTTCTGAGTCAATATGCTACTTAAGAATTTTATTGACAGACAATCTCAGGCTTGGAAAGTCTTCAGGGTGTTGCATGTGGGGCTCAGTACGGCTGTTTGTTCTTAAGCATCAAACAATGATTTTTAGTCATTATTTCAAAAGGGAGCTGCATTCATTTCCGAGCTGAAATGAGAAGTCCTAGTGAAGAGCAGTTTGAAGCAGTCAGAATATGACAAGTATGTCAAATGAGGACTATCTGCCCGGAAGTCAGGAGCCCCTGAAAGTCATACTGAACAGTTTTTCAAAAGGTAGCAAATATGAAAACTGTGCTTATCTTTTTTCTAAAGAGCATTCTCCTATAAAGCTATATAATTTTATTTTCTTTCTGATTTGCCATTCTGAAAAAATAATTGTATATTAGCCTTCTGGGTTGTTTTTTTTTTTTTTTTACCTGATTACTTTTTTAAAGGAAATGTGGGTACTCTGATAAGTGCTCACCCAGTAATCTCTATGTCCCATCCCCCAAAGTAAGAGCTTATTGTTTAAGCACATAAGCCTGAGTCAGATATATAATGAGGTATTGAGATTTTTACCACTATAAATACAGTTGGATGAATAGATCTGAGTGTGGTTTTAAACCTAGGTGTTCATACCATTTCTCAACTGTTTTAAAATTTATTTTGACAGAAGAATGCATTATTAAATAGCTCAGACTAGCTTTGTGTCTCAAATTTCATACAATTCCTGCTATTATTATAATTTTTCTCTGGGTGGAAAGTCTGTCAAGAAAATCTGACAACAAACAAAGTTTCTCATTAAAATACCTTTAAGCTCTAAGGAATTTGGCTACATAATTTTGATTTCCTTTTAGTAGAATTATTTGTTTGCATTAACATGTCTTTCTTAATGAGTTCTCCCAAACTCCCAAGAAAACTAGCTAAAAGTGATAGCATTTTTTTTTTTTTACAACTTAGAGTCTCAAGTTGAAGCATCCTATATAATAAAAGCCTAATATGCTAAGTGTCCGGTCTGCTGGTCAGCATTTCAACCAATCAAAACGTAATATGCTAATGATATGCTAAGGCCACTCAACCACTCACTATGACATGCACTGACCACCAGAGGGTAGACAGTCGACTGGTTGACCAGTAACCATGATATGCGTTGATCACAGAGGGTGGCGCAGAACATGGTGGGCATCAGTGACACTACTCTGTCAGCAGGCAGCAGTGGAGGCACTGCCTGCCCCAATGGGCCCCGACAAAAGCGGGACTGCAGCAGGATGGTGGAGCATGTGAGCGGGCAGCTCCAGGCCAAGGAGAGTGCCAGGCTGGGCAATGGGGCTGCGAGGCTGAGGGCACAAGCTGGGGCTCCGAGGCTGGGGGCATGAGCTGGGGCCAAGGCCCCGCAGTCCACTCCAAGAGACCCCATGCATGCATGAATTTATGCACCTGAACTCTCATTTTAATATACTCATTACCAGACAGTTTGCTAATACTTCTGCAGTGGCTCTAGTAGTTTAACTAGTCACCAGGACGAATCTTCTAAAGCAGGGTCTCTCAACCTTGGGCACTATATTGTATTAGGCCAGATAATTCTTTGTTGAAGGGGCTGTTCTATGCATTGAAGGGAATTTAGCAGCATCCCTAGCTTCTGCTACACAGATGTCAACAGCACCCATCTCTCCAGTCATTTGCCAGAACCCAGTGGTAGCACCAAGCTCAAATGTCACTTAGTATATTTATGCCATTTGCTAAACAAACAGAATGCACTAGTATTCTCTTTCCTGCCAAGCTCACTGAACTTCTAATCATGAAATCACAGAAGCCAAGAGCTGGAATAAACCCAAGAAGATATATTGTCCATACCACTCCTTTTCAGGTGAGAAAACAAAAGAGTAATGCAGGGAAGGCTTGCTCAAGGCCTCAGAGTAAATTAGTAGCAAGGCCAGCTCTAAGCCCAAATCTATCAGCTTCTAGTTCATTGACTACAGCACTTTTTCAATATTTTATTTCGAGGGTAAACCCCACCCTCGATATAATAATTTTATTAAAATGGAATAAAAGGTATAATTTCTACATTGTAGAATTATTTTTATTTGAAGCATAAACGATTTGTATTACTAATACATAAAATTAGTATTACTAAAAACTCTAAATTAGTATTATTGAAAAATTTCAAGGTATTTAGATTTTAGTTGTTTTTAGTGAGTTTAAGATTGTCACATGTTCATATTTAAATTACTGTCAGATTTTAAATTTTTTAATATAAATTACTGTGAGATTATATCTTATAAATGTCATGTTAATGCATCAATAGGTATACATGTTATTAATATATACCTGTACCATCAAGCCAAAGTAACATAGCCCTTGGTCATCTCCAATGACAATGCCTACATTTACTCAACCAGCTGGCATTGATGGTGTCTTATAATATGAAGACAACTCTTCCAGAATCTCTGAACTGCATTTAAAAAAAGAACAAATGTCTGCCTCTTAGAAGCTCAGAAAACTGGACTTTTAGATAACATAGAAACTCTGAAATTTGAGTTTATTTTGTTGGATTTTAAATTTTTTGTTTTGTTTTGTTTTTCTTTTAATCTGGCTAGCTTGTTTTAGTGAAGGCTATTTCCCCTTCACAGGTTAAGCCTTTTGCCACTCCTCAGGGATGCCCAGCCTTGGGCCTGTGCACAGTCACTGAGAAAGACACTGGTCTTAGCAAGCCTTATCTTTCTTTTGC